AGTCATCAAACAACGATTGATGTAACAGTAGAGGGCTGGGCTTGAGTGCTGTAAAAAAAACCTTCTCCACGTTCGCAAGCACAACGCCAGGTACAAGGAGAAGGGATAAAGAGAGCAATGATTTCATGTCTCTAATTGGCTATACAACTGTGATCAGCTGGTGAGGATATCAATCCTTGAGAGTTGGATGTTGAGTTATGTTGTTTATGATAGGCCACGGATTCATTATTATATATCCGGATATTCGTGCGTATTTGGAACTCTGTAAGTGACAAATTAGAATTCGATGTTCCTTATATTGATCATTCTAACAATGAAGTGTCAAATTGTATGTCTAGGAGTTAAATGTCGTTTAATTCATTTGACAGGGATATACAAAGCCAACTTTACTTGAATGTGACAACTCGAAAAACACGCATGCAAGCTGAATGCAATTACGGCAATATCCAAGTGTGGAAGGACACCTTACCTTCCTTCAAACATATGGACTTCTTGAACCTATGGATAAAATAAGAGATATTTGTTCCCAAGTTTTACCCATGTGTATGGATGAAAGAAATATCAAGAGAGACGCAGAAATGAGGACATACAGAGGGGATAAGACTATTTCATTCTCACAAAAAATAAGACGGGCTTCCAAGGTCCCTACCATCAAGTATTCCTGGATAAATAGAAGTTCGCTGCCATCTCCGTGGAAGTTGGGCAGGCGATGAGCACAGGATGAGGTCACTTGATATTTGGATATCCATTAGATAGAGGTCATGTGATTCCGGCCTGCATTGAGCTGACTCATGGGTTAGTTAGGCAAAGATTCTCAAGGTTGTCTTCAGCATCAAGCCGCTTGCCTCAGTGATGTTCTTGGTTGTTCCATGCTCCGTATAAAGATGCATGCTCTTCCTCCGCTATCTCCACTTCCCTAATACAGATATTTAGCATTGTCTATTGGATGTCCTTCCTGCCCGAAATACTTCAGGTGGTAATGATTCGAGGGCCACGTGACTGGCCAACAAGATCAACAACACTAAAAAGATGCGTGCCACTGAAATACAGACCGCGAACCAAAATGACAATACGTGAAACTCAAATCTCTGATTGGTTCCTCTGTTGTATCTCCTTCTGGCGCACTAATCAGGGCTCCAGGGCTCCAGGGCCCTTCCAATGAGTGCAATATAACGACGCTAGCGCGCGATTCCCGCGCGACTTAGGCGCTAATTGGTAGCTACAGCCAAAGGGAAATGATGTAAATACCTCTTGGTAATGGGATTGTATGATATGTCATGATACATGGTTCTTACGCCACCGGCTTTGTTGAGGTTTTGGTTTCTTCTCCCCCCAAAACTCACCGATGCAACCTGCAAGCACCAAAACATCCTCACGTTTGAAAAGTCACCAGCCTCCATCTCCAAACACAATTCATGATTGCTTTGTTCTTTCAACTCGACAGACAGGTATGTCGTCCCATCCATGCTTTATGCATATCATTGTTTTAGTACGAAAACACGTCTCTAACCTACCCTGACAGCTCCTGTTTTGATTGATTATCGGAGCTTCTGTGCCGCACTGCCCTTCTCCCGTTGGGCCTCAACTCTCCGCCCAATCTTGACCGCTACCGAAACCTCCAACACCACCATTCAACATGAGAGAAGTAGTTAGTTTAAATGGTATGGCACCTCTTTTTGCTACATTGAATGCACCTGTATATATATAAATATAAATATGGCCCTTGCTGACGAATGAATGCCCAACCACAGTCGGCCAGGCAGGTTGTCAAATCGCAAATTCGTGCTGGGAGGTATGATAACACTGCCTATATAACTTATGTCCTTCTGCAGAACTTCCAATTACACCGGCAAATTTTGATCGCCAATGATACTGATGTGTTTTTTTTTAATGTTTACAGTTGTATTGCCTGGAACATGGTATTCAGGTATGTGCTGATATTGAGTCAAGTCCTCTGTTTACTTTCCTTTGCAGCTTTGTTTGTTGTCTCATGCCACTGTCTACGTACCTGGGATATAAGGTTAATACGACTTAACCTGAATAGCACGATGGATACCTGACTGAGGAACGGAAAGCTGCCGACCCAGACCACGGATTCAACACATTCTTCTCTGAAACAGGTTCGCGCTCTTCTCTCAAAATAATCTAGCTATCTATATGTATTTCGGCTTATGGCTTCGGTTTTGGAAACTGACCTTGTCATTCCGTACTGTACCTAGGCCAGGGGAAATATGTCCCTCGAACCATCTACTGTGACCTTGAACCAAATGTCGTCGACGAAGTCCGAAGCGGGCCTTACCGTGCCCTCTTCCATCCAGAGCAGATGATCACTGGGAAGGAGGATGCATCGAACAATTATGCTCGTGGCCATTACACCGTAGGCAAGGAGATGATTGACCAAGTTCTTGACAAGGTTCGCCGCGTGGCAGACAACTGTGCAGGTCTCCAAGGATTTTTGGTTTTCCACTCCTTTGGAGGCGGAACGGGGTCCGGCTTTGGTGCACTTCTTATGGAGCGCCTGTCTGTAGACTATGGCAAGAAAACAAAACTGGAGTTTTGCGTCTACCCTGCCCCGCAGAATGCTACGTCGGTCGTCGAACCTTACAATTCGATACTCACAACGCATACGACTTTGGAGCATTCGGATTGCAGTTTCATGGTGGATAACGAGGCAATATACGACATCTGTCGCCGGAACCTAGGCATTGAGAGACCAAGTTTTGAAAATCTAAACCGGCTGATAGCTCAAGGTTAACTTCCCTCAACAGTATTTTCGCGCCTTTCCTCCGCCAAACTTTCATAGCTAATTTCTTGTGAATATGTATGTAGTTGTTTCTTCCATTACGGCTTCACTCCGATTTGACGGTTCCCTCAACGTCGACCTGAATGAGTTCCAGACCAATTTGGTGCCCTATCCCCGCATCCACTTCCCCCTGGTTGCCTACGCCCCAGTTGTCTCCGCGGCTAAAGCATCCCACGAATCCAACTCTGTTATGGAAGTGACCATGTCTTGCTTCGAACCCAATAACCAGATGGTCAAGTGCGATCCCCGGAACGGTAAATACATGGCAACCTGTCTCCTGTACCGTGGAGATGTTGTTCCCAAGGACGTACATGCTGCTGTGGCGACATTGAAGACGAAGCGCACCATTCAATTTGTTGACTGGTGTCCCACCGGCTTTAAGATTGGTATCTGTTACCAGCCTCCCCATATGGTCCCCAATGGTGACCTTGCCAAGGTCAACCGCGCTGTGTAAGTTGCTCTTCAAATATGTATTCCACCCCAGCGGAACACCCCAGAACTAAAAAACATCTCCACAGATGCATGTTGTCAAACACAACTGCCATTTCTGAAGCATGGTCCGCGCTCTCGCACAAGTTTGACCTGATGTACTCCAAGCGCGCATTTGTCCACTGGTACGTAGGCGAGGGTATGGAAGAAGGCGAGTTCTCAGAGGCGCGTGAGGACCTGGCCGCATTGGAGCGGGACTATGAGGAGGTGGCCAGCGATTCAATGGAAGAGGAGATTGAGCCAGAGTACTAAACATCAATATCTACCAAACCGATATGATTGAGAGATGAGGACAACGCCTTGGCTTCTCTTTGTTTGTGTGTCTGCGTGGGCTGCTGTTTGCGCAAAAACATGGAATCTATTATACCCATCTCTTCCCGTTCCCTACCCCTTATAATGGACTACTCCTACTCCCCCCTTGAAGCTTTTTAACCCTATAAGTTTTGTTCACACTTTTCCGGGATGAAATGCTTCTTGCGTTTTAGACTACCAAAACCTCGCGCCACTCCCCTTCCCCTTCCCCTCACCCCAACCCCCTCCCCGCGCCGGGCCTTTTTTTTTTTTTTTTTTTTTTTTTTAATTAATGTTTTAGAGTCGATATACTGGAGTTTTAATATTTGGCCAGACACGCAGGGTACCTACTATCAGCTATAAATATCCTGTTTTCGATCATCTGCCATTGGTATCTCTAAACACAGCATCCATATCATGGCCGAGGCCGCCCAAACTGACTCAGCAGACCCAAGGTCACATTCCATCGATGGACATCAATGGACATATTCAACTCTCTTGAGAGTAATGTTGCTCATGGTCATTACTGGGAGAGAAACTGGGCAATTGCCTCCGGGACCAAACATCGATCATTAATTCTATGCAGATTGGGCTTCATTATAGGAAGTCCAAGATGTGTTGTTAATACTCTCTACATATATGACCTTCTTTAACCTACCTGCATAGTAATCATTGTCACTTGTTCTATCTCTCTCTCTCTCTTTGCAATCAATACAGAGACAAATTAGATAGCCACTAAGTCCGCAGCAATATATCCAATGTCCTGCCTAAGCTTTCTGTAGTTGTTCCCTTCTTGTTGATTGCGCAGTCTCAGTTGGGTAGCAAAAATATTTGTAATGTAGTAATATAGAATTATTTTATGACCGGAATCCGGTAACTACAAGTCTCATACATAAAATACATATACAAAAGTCCTCATTTTGTAGGAGCCTATTGTGCCCAGACGGTAATATTACGGACAGCTAGTTAACTGGTACCGCTTACCTGATCCAGTTCCTCGTTCGACGCAACTTCCACTCCAACCGCCGGACATTGTCTGCTCCATATATATATACACCACCGCACTGGAATATCTGATATCTCACCTTTCTCTCTATCCCTCTCTCCGCGAGGAATAGCTGGTTAGCAAATATCCTCACGGATTTATCCTACGTTGCAGTCAACCTGTTAAGCTCTAATCCGCCCTTGTACGCGAACGATCATTTCAACCCCTTTTTCCACCGGTTTTGTTTCTTATTGCGCTTGATAATTTTACCAACAATCGAGCAACCCCCCGACTCTCCATAACGAAGCTCCATGCTTCCACCCACTTCTTCACTTACATAAACCGGGCTCCTTTACCAACTACGTACACCGGAAGATATTTGGAGAGAAGAAACGAGGAGCATCGTTTATGGGAGAGACGGCTGACTGAACAATGGCGGACGGAGGTGAGTGGCCAAATAGGTCTCCTAACCATACATCCTACATGCATTAGGCTAGCAATTCTGGTCCGCAAAACAATACCAGCTTTTTTCTCCATTCCGCTCTTTTCTCACGACTCAATAATATAACTTACCTCTGTTATAGGCCATCCGAACCTGAACCTGACACCAGAGGAGAAGCGGGTGTTTTATAAACTATTTCAAGCGGCGGATAAGACAAATCTCGGCGTTATAACTGGTGAAGTGGCCGTTTCTTTCTTTGAGAGGAGCAGTCTTCCTGCGGAAACGTTGGGTTTGGTAAGTCAGTTTGATCATATTACGCCTTCAGCCTGTCAGGGTCATAAAACTCATCTGTCTCCCAACACGTAACTAAGAGAAAGTGATGTAAATTGACTGGATGTTGCTCTTTTGTCGGATAACAGATATGGCAAATTGCTGATACGCAGAATCGCGGGCTCCTGACCCCGTCTGGGTTTGGAGTGGTTATGCGGTTGATCGGACATGCGCAAGCTGGCCGAGCACCGACGGAAGAATTGGCATTGCAACGTAAGCCTATCCCGAAGGTATTTTTAAAGAAGCCCCATCGCTTACTTGGACTTTTCAGCTGGTCCATTGCCGAAGTTTACTGGATTAAATGATGATATTATGGAGCCCATGCCACAGGCGGCAACCGTCACGGCCAGTCCCCCGCCAGGAACGGCACCTGTTAGAATCCCACCATTGGTTCCCGAAGACGTTGCTAAGTTTACTTCGTTGTTTGAGAGGTCAGATGTTCAGAATGGGCTTCTCTCAGGTAATATCTAGAAATTAATCATTCCAAAAGCCGATTACAGGTTTAATTAACATCGGCGACAAAATTGCAGGTGAAAATGCGAAACAGATATTTGAACGCGCACGATTGCCAAACGAAGTTTTGGGAAAAATATGGAATCTGGCGGACACGAAACAACGAGGCGCTTTAGATGCGACAGAATTTATTATTGCCATGCATTTGTTAAGTGCGTATCGAAATGGCACGATGAGGATCTTACCTCAGTCCCTCCCTCCTGGTTTCTACGATGCGGCTGCTCGACGTGGTGGCGTGCGGATCTCAATTGGTTCGCGGTCCTCCACGGATATACCCCCTGTACCTGCCATTCCGAAGCAATTCAGTGGATCAGGGCTTCCCCAACGAGCACAGAGTCCCCTCAGTCGACCACCCCAGTTCCAGTCAAGTATCCCCGTGCAGTCTACCGGGAGCGACTGGACGATTACACCCCAGGAAAAAGCTCATTTCGATACCGTGTTCACTTCTGTTGATAAAGCAAATTTGGGTTATATTACTGGCGATCAGGCGGTTGAATTCTTCACCCATGCGCAGTTGCCAGAGGAAACCTTGGCCTCCATATGGGACTTGGCCGATATTGACTCCGATGGTCAGTTGAGTAAGGATGAGTTTGCGGTTGCAATGTATCTGGTTCGGCAGCAGCGGACCACTCGAGAGCCGCTGCCGCAGGCACTCCCTCCAGTTTTGATTCCCCCAAGCATGCGACTCCAGCCCACTCCTGCTCCTCGGCTAGTCCCACAAAACACAGCGCAACGCTCTGCGGCAGAGGATTTGTTTGGACTGGATGTGTTTGGACCCCCGCCTCAAGTGGCCCAGACCACTGGTAGCTCCAATACTCACCAGTCTCCCTCATCGCCCACCCAGTCACCACTTGGGACTTCAGCAACATCAACATTCAAGCCATTCATTCCCTCATCGAGCTTTGGCCAGAGTCTCACCCCGCACGTGACGGGCTTATCGAACGCATCTACACAACATCGATCTCCACCACCGTTACCGGCGTCGCATGATCTATTGGGCGATGTCGATCCTGAAGAGAGCAAGAAGTTGACGCAAGACACCACAGATTTAGCAAATCTCTCAAACCAGATTGGTAGCTTGTCAAAGGAGATGCAGAACATGCAAGGGAAACGTGCGGTGGCTGAGCAGGATTTAAACAAAACTAGCCAGCAGAAGAAAGATTTTGAAACCAGACTAGCTCAAGCTAGAGCAATGTTTGACCAGGAAATGAAAGATTTCAAGGCTCTAGAAGATCGGTTAGCGGCGTCTCGTACAGAGACAAAAAAGTTACAACAGGATTTTGCCTTGATTGACGCTAGTCGTCAGGACCTCCAAAACCAATATAACCAAGTGAATGCTGCACTGGACGCTGACCAATGCGAGAGCGCTAGCCTCAAGGAAAAAATCCGCCAGGCTAACGCGCAAGTTAATCAATTGAAGCCGCAGTTGGAAAAGGTCCGTTCTGCGGCTCGTCAGCAAAAGGGTCTAGTAGCCATCAACAAAAAGCAGCTTGCAACCGTTGAAGGCGAGCGCGATCGAATGCAAGGTGAAATCGATAGCACTACCAGGGAAGTAGAGATGTTACAGCACCAACAATCTCAAGCGTCCACTCCCATTTCCCAACCTGCTTCCGTTACAAGCCCTGCACCTTCAACCTCAAGCCAAACGAACCCCTTTTTCAGACGAACGACGGGTTTGTCTGAAAACTTTATTCCTCCTCCAGCATCCCCCCAGGAATCACCAAGAGATGCCCAGAGCGTATTTGAGAATGTTTTTGGCCCATCGTTTACTCTTCCTACTTCTACGGCCACTCCACCGCCACCAACGTCGTTTCGAACTGAATCTCCCGCTCAAAACACTCCAACAGCGGGGGCTGGACCTCAAAAGACATCAGATACATCCTGTTTCTTGACCCCGTCTGCCTCTCCCAACTCATTCGAGCCTCCCCCTCCCTCACAATCTCGGCAAATCTCATCCAGCCAGCTTCCAATTGAAGGCCACCAAACCTCAGAGGCTTCTTCTGTCAAACCGTCCCCGCCAGCTAGTCGTTTTGGAGCTTCTGTAGTCTCAGAATCCGATACGCGCTCGTCAACGAAGTCTCCATTCGATATTGCAGTGGCAAAACCTGAGGTAGATCTGGAGAGAGCGTCAAGCGTGTCGGACGAAGGCAGCAACCAGGCTCGACATCAGCATGAAGCTTCTCCTGTTCCTGGCTCCTTCCCTGCAGACTCAGCGCCATCTGGATCTGTTAAGAAGGATGTCAGCTTTGACGAACTATTTGGTGGCGTTGCCCATGCTCGATCCCCTTCTCAAAAAGCCAATGACTTTGAGGAGGCCTTTGCGGCTATGAAAATGAAAAGCGGGAGCAGCGGTTCTGGATTCCCAGAATCCAGTGGCTCTAAGTCAAATGAGGAATCGAAAGAGTTCCCTCCAATTCAAGAGCTGGATGACGATGATGAGAGTACAGATAGTGAAGCGGCCAGGGGTTTCGATGATGATTTCTCACCTGCTTCACCGCTACGGCCAAATGAGACAACTTCCCGGGACATCATTGCCCCTAAGCCATTCGACCCAGCCTCCGAAAGTTCACTCCTGTCCAAAACGAACGGCCAGGACACCTCGAAGGAAGCCTCATCCGCTGCGCGGCACGAATCTAACGGCATGTCATCAGTTGAGGTAAACAGCACAGGAACCTCTCAGCCAGCTGAACCGAGCAAGAAGAAATCAGCAGCTACTGATTTCGAGGCGGCTTTCGCGGGTTTAGACCTCGCACCAGCGAGAGAAGCAGACGACGATGAAGACGATTTCGAATCACCATTCAACAAAGAAACATCGAATTTTGACATGACATTTGACTCACCCGTTGCACCGTCGAAATCAAGCACAATTGCCAACGCCACCTTCACTTCCAGCACAGGATCAGGCAACAACATTGTAGACCCTGATTTCTTCAGCTTCGACAACCAACAACCGCAAAACCAAAAATCATCCTCTCCTTCTCCCTTCTCGCAGAAATCGGGCCCTTCAACAGCTCCGGCACCCTCTTCAGGAAACGGTACACAAGACTGGGACGCCTTATTCTCCGTCCTCGACCGCTCAAAACTCCCCTCCTACGACTCCAATAGCAATAATAAGGGCGCGTCTTCAACACAGCAATCGGATGCCACAGCAATATCCTCCTTTCCCCAGCCACCAGGAAAGGACGTCAAGCCACCCGGCTGGGCACTTGGTGCCGATTCGGGCGAGGACGATTTGATTCTACAGCGGTTGACGGGTATGGGGTACCCGCGGGACGAATCATTGGCGGCTCTGGAGAAATTTGACTATAATCTTGAACAGGTGGGTTGAAGTCCTTTGCCAACCTACATCAGGTTTTTTTTTTCCTCTTTTTTTTTTTCTTTTCTTTTTTTTTGGTGTGTGTGTGTGTGTGTGTTTGTTGTGTGTTTAAACAATATTATAGAAAGATGGCTGAGTGGATATATTCTTGCGTTGTATACAGGCTGCCGACTTCCTCGCGTCCAAATCATGAGTCCCAGGTCCACGTGGTCCTACATTTCAGACAGATTGGGATTGGTTTTTGGATTGGGATTGGGATTGGCATCGGGATTAATTTTGTTGGCTCTAGGTAGGAGAAATCGGTTTTAGGGACCAAAGTCAGCATACACGAGACACACACATATCCCCCAACTGCATGAGATGGAGAACCCTTACTCCTATGTGAAACTTTGTTTCAAGTAGTCTGACATGTACTAGATATAGTAAATTTCGTTGAGTTGGTTGAGCTATTGAAAGTTTCTTTTTGTTTTTCTTAACCCTACTTCCATTTCCTGTGAGAATAGGGGAGCAGTTATTAGTTTAGTGAGATTTTGCATTCTCTTTCTGGCACTCATGCCAATGGTTATTTTTTTGAAACAGTTTTCTAGCAAAATAAATTATGGAATTCGGGTTTGCGTATGTTCAATCCGATTCGAATGTCCCCATCAATATATCAATACCATGCCCCAAGTTTCTGTTGGCAATTTCAAATATCGTGGGCTCAGGATCCTACATACCTGACCAGACTCAATAGACTGCAGAAGCTGACAATGAATATAATCTTCCGTTCAACCACAAGAGATATTTTTGGTAGATATTCACATTCACCGGTCGCGTGGCAAAAGGGCTATCACACAGATGCTGGTAATCAGAGACACAATGAAATCATGCTGTGAAAAGCACAATATTTCTGCCATATTGGAATGGATCTGGGATGTCAAACCCGTTGTTTGGTTGAAATTGAACACAATTGTCATGGCAACCCCGCAAATCAAGATCGAACCCCGCCGATCCTTCAAAGAAGTGACTCTCCAGTACTGCTCCAGGGTGTAAGTGGCGAAATGAAGAACTTGAGTGTGTTAAAACTAAAATGCGATAACTAACTAATACACCATGGTGTCTTTCCTTTACAGAAGATTGTGGCCCTGATGAGATTATTTTTCTGGGGCTGGTTGATCAGAATTACAGAAACGGTTTTGAAACGCTGTATCCTTAAAAATCATGAAATGTATTTGTGACCGCGATCCCGTGTAACTCTCAAACAGAGAATGTGATTGAAACATAATATCTCTTGACTTCCTGTCCCTCTTTTCCTGTTGGTTTCAATAAGGAATGCCTTTTCGAGAGTCGTTCCTGTGGTTGAGGCGCATGGAAAGCGACATCATCATCGACAAACTAATACCAAATTCTGGCTCTTTTCCTCTCTACGGAGTAGGGGACATGTCAACTGTGTTAGAGAGAAATCCAGTCTGACGCAATGTAGCCATGTTTCATGAAGATGGATATATCTGGAAAATGATTTCAGAAAGCTCATTCTTTTTGGATGTTGGCAGATATCCTTAGCTTACGCGCTGCTATCTTTAAGAAGACACTGCAACTTCACAATGAGAACACCAGGCACTCCAAACCCCCGTAGAAATGGAATCAGCATATTGGAAAGGTTCCCACTGATTCCCCACACATGTTGCAGCACAAGAGCACACCTTCTTATTCACATTGCCCAGAAATTCCTCCTCGCCGGTACTTTATAGTTATAGAAAGCCCGCTTCAATGGCCATTGCGCAGACCGAGCTTGTTTGGAGGATTTGATATCCACAGCACGACCACACTTTAAAGATGCCATGGTGTTTTATTGTGTGGAGATTGGGGGTAGAGTTGATGAGTTCACATTGAAATGTCATGAGTTATTATTGAATCTCTATCACCAGACAGCTTAGCTCGTCATAAGTATGAAATTTTCCGGGACGTCTTTAAAGCGCGGCTCTCGCACCCTCCTCGCGCTTCTCTGTGCCAACGAAGGAATGGAGAATCTGAGGCGGTGTGGCGTCGATAATAATGTCCACTGCAGTAGGCCGAACGGGAGAGACCTGAGAGGAGAATTTCAAGTATAACAAATAAACAGAACCAACCAATTTTATTTTACAGTTAACTATGCTTCATCAGGCTGGCTCGGTTCTTCGAACATTGATGTCTGCCAGTATTTGAGCAAGGGTCAAGCACGGATAAAGTCGGGTGCTCTGGCAAACTGGTTGGCTGATTCTTCAGCCACACTCCGACTGGCCCATCCATGATGCTGCTGCTGTCCATCTTCATGTTTGGGCGTGCTTGGCACTCGGGCTTTCATGCCTGTGAACTTCAACTCATGAAACCCGTGTGGCGTCAAGAGGGGACTGGACTGGATAGCAGAACAAATCCGATTCAAGTCCTGCATCCAGCGGTTCAGCGGCTTTCGAGGTTAAAGCAGGCTGAGAGTTCCTGGTGAGAGGGTCACATCCCACCAAATGGGCCTCTCGCTAACGCGTCATCTGTTAACAATTTAAATTGTCCCGTGCAGCGTCATGCGCTGCTTATTTTTTCATATGGTCTACACCGAGGTCGCCAACTGCTTCTAGACATACGTAATAGTTAACCACACACAGCTATGGCATGGCATGACTCCCCTTGACAGACCCAGCCACAGCAAGCAATAACAAGCAGCTAACTAGCTGTGGCGGATTCAGGCACTCCTGGATTTGATTCTGATCAAGAGGCGGCGTGATGTGATGACCGGACAGCCCCCATCCCCGTTCTTATTTGCTAGGGAGATGCCGTATGGGGGCATAAATGGCTTGGGTTAGTTAGCTCGGGAAAAGAGCATAACGTTGACTGGCTGGTTCAATCAAGACGGATGCATTGAGTGCAGAGCAATGTATCTCTGCTGCGGAACTTGTGGTGGCAGCGACGAAGTTGAGTTAGCGAGGTCCCCCCTCGTAACTATACGAGGTCATGCCGCCCGGATTTCCTTTTTCTGGCCTTTTGGCCATCCGGTAGTTATTAGTTTATATTTGCACTATTAAATTAAGTATAAAATTTTCTGTGGCAAGTTAGCAAAGTTTTTTATTCTATTATTATTTTAATTTCCATACCCCCTCCTCCGCCGAGTGTATCTTTGCTCCTCTTCCTCAACAGCCATGATCTCCCTCACGTCATCGGCCAGGTAACTAATTCACCTGCCACCAAACAGACGAACAAAACAATCCACAATATTAATATCTGCATTAATTGTTGAGACCTTGAATCCTGGAGCTTAATCCCCACCAAAAATTTAGTTAGCCAGCAACCAGTCAACCCCGATCTATCTGCTTTCGCCCACACAAATCCTGGCCTTGCGCCCCCGCTTGAGGAACTAAATTAAAGTCCTGTCCATATCTTGTCCCTCCTCGTCCGCAGACCTCCCATGTCATCTGCAGTCTCTCTGCTTGAAATACAGCCTTCTTCCCTCCAACAGCAAGGGTTCACTTCGCGCCCTTATAAACCCCAACCATCTCCTGGCAACTTGACTCTAGGACTGTGTATCGTCATCATCATAAAAATCAGGCAATAAACGGCCGCAAAGGATCTATATTCGCTTCTGGAGGTTGTATACAACAGGCCATTCCGCCATGACCCAAAATATCATCCTTGGCCTGCGCAGCATCCAGGTGCTCTTTGCCATTATTGTCCTCGGTCTCACAGCCTACGGTATGTCATACCATCCACCAAAAGAGATAAAAACTGAAAATAAAATAGATGGGTGGGGGGGGGGAATAACTTAACTTCAACGTCATAACTAACCATCATACCCTCCCTAGCCGTCAACTCCTCGCAAGGGAGCTCCCCGGATGAAGTCAACTTCCTTCTCTTCGACGCCATATGGACCATGCTCATTGCCGTTCCCTACCTCGTTCTCTCACCACTCTACTTCCCCGCTGTAGCGCATAAGTACGCCCTCATCGCTACCGAGGCCATCACGCTGCTCTTCTGGTTCGCCGGCTTCATCGCTCTCGCTGCCTCGCTGCCCCCAGCTGGCCTTTGCAAGTACTATACCATCTGCAAAGCCCTGCAGGCTGCGACGGTTTTCAGCGCGTTTGAGTGGTGCGTTCCCTCGCTTTTGTTGTTGCTATATATATATATATTTATTTATTTATTTGTCTGGGGTTAACTGGACTGTATGTGCGGTGTTAATACTTTACAGGCTCCTTTTCGTCGCAACGGCTGTTCTCGTCGTCGTCCTCCCCTTGGTGCGTGGCAGAGAAACTCACAAACCTGAAGCGGGAGTGAACATGCAAGCCCATGCCGGCGTGTAATTCGCAAAATCATACATCGCAAAATTAACCTCTCCCCTGACGATCAATCTATGCCATTTTGTCTCCTTTTAACGCTATTATGGTTACGTTTGCCATGGAAGTTTATTTGCTTCAGCGTACATATGCTGTTATGCTTGTGAATCTGATTAATGGAACTAGCCGTGATTTGGTATAAATAATACTTGATACCCCCATCATGCTCATTTACTTGCTGATCTGTCTGTTATGTTTCAATTTTATACAAAATTATTCTATGCTGTGTTCTGCTGCTCTGCATCTTTTTAAATCCACCTATCCCCTTAATTTTCCCCTAGGAGTTTTTGACGAACCCTATGCTTTAGTGCCCGTCGTTTATCCTCACCGATATTGTCTCTTCCTGTATACTGCAATGGATACGCTCGCATCTCATGCTTGCGCTATAACGCCGGAGCCCCTCAGATGCAAATCTCCACTGAGGTTTATACCCCTTTTGTTTGCTCTTTTCTGAGGAATTTTACTACGTAACAAGTTGATACCCGGAATTCTCCGTTTGCTTCAGTTGTGGGAGGAGCGCGTGGGAGGAGAAGAGGATATGGACCTGTTACGCGTCACCGCGCTTGCGTCAAAATTTGCGATTTGGTTGATATAAATAATAAATCATAATACTGTTTTCAGGAATTATCTTGTGCAGTCGACTGTTCTGTAAAATATAGCATACTTTAAAAAATG